CCCTCCCCTTCCCTCCCCTCCCCTCCATAGAGACAAATTTAGGGAAGACTATTTGCCCCAAGCTGATCTCGAACTCTTCGCTTCAAGCAATCCTCCCACCTCAGCCTCCCAAAGTGGTGGGATTACAGGTGGGAGTCACCATGGCCCAGGAAAGGATTACTGACAGAGAACTTACCCTGCCTGGGGCCAGCACAGCCCGGGCCGTACACATGCCAGCAATCTGTTCAACGTAACCCCTACCAGGCAAGTAGTACCGGACCGAGCAGGGTCTCATCCTAACCTCTCAGAGGGTCCTCCAGAGGGAATAGGAACTGTGACCCTATTTACTAGGCCTTGGGCTTCAGGCCTGCTGGATAGTACCTATGGAAAGTAGGGGAAAGGTCAATGGAAACAAGTCTAGCTCATGCCTGGAACCACTTCAGAATCTGGGAAAGCTGCTGGGTCCCGTGTCCCTGGCTTTGTCCAGCAAGGTCACCTGCAGACAGGGCAGAGTCCCAGAATGGTCTGATCTCCCTGACACTTTGAAGTAGTGCAGCTGATCCCGAGCGGTACTCCAACCTTTGCCCTCATTTCCCCGGTTGCATGGGAAAAGGATGTGTGTGTATAGAGGTAAGGGTGGGAACGTGGTTCCAGTCCTCCTCTACTGCTGCTTTTCCAGAAGCTTCTTTGTTCCCACTCTTTTAAGTTCCCAGGCTGACATTTGGTGGGCTTTTATGGGATGGCTGTGCCCAACGTAGACACATATAGTTGAGCAGGTTAGGATTTGGTACGTGTATGCAGGGAACAATGCAAAAGGAAAATTTTCAGTATCTTTTACTTTTGTTTTTGCTGATCTCCCCCAACTATAATCACGGGGTGAAGTACAGCTGTGGGAAACCCCAGGGGCAGGTCCCCTGTCCCCTTCCTGCCACTCGACACACCTCAGGAGGACTACAAAAGGAAACATATCAATCATCACAAGTTGCTCAATGACTCTGGAATGTTCTGTTTCTATTCCTGTTTCCTTCGCTGCTTCTACTCTTTTTTTCTTTTCTTAGATACAGGTTACTGCTTTGTTGCCCAGGCTGGAGCACAGTGGTGCAATCATAGCTCACTGCAGCCTCAAACTCCAGGGTTCAAGGGATCCTCCTGCCTCAGCCTCCCTAGTAGCTGGGACTACTGAGTGCCACCACACTCAGCTATTTTAAAGATTTTCAAATATTTTTGTTGTAGAGACAGGTTCTCACTTTGAAGCCTAGACTGGTTTCAAACTCCTCGCTTCAAGCAATCCACCTACTTCATCCTTCCAAACTGCTGGGCTTACAGGTTGAGCCATGGCACCTGCCACTGCTTCTATGTAAACACTGACACACCCAAACTAGGCTTTTAAAGTGCTTTCTCTCAATGGAGTCACAGCCTTTCTTCCTTCTGTACAATGGGGTCAGACACATTCAACCTCAGATTGCCAGTCTCTGTCACTGGATGCTACAGGGAATTCAGTCGGCCTGCCCGAGTACAGTTGGGGAATTTTCTGAAGGTTTTTCCATATCCCATCTTACTTTCAAATGCTCAGTAGGGTTGCTATGATAGCATGAAGCAGGCCTCCTTATTCAGTTCCTATTCTGGACACGCAGCTTGCCCGTGACTGTTGCATGTCAAGTGGCTGGAACCAATCAGCTCATCTAAGGCTTCCTCAGAAGCCAATCAGAGCCTTGGAAAGTGACCTCACACAAAGGAGAGCTATGTGGGCGAGAAAGAACCTCTCAGATCTGTGAGTGTCCCTAAGTCACTCCCTTGCTCCCCACCCTCCTTACTTCCTGTTAAACACCACCGCCTACCTCCCTTCCTCCAAAGAAAGGGAGAAAAGCTAACTAAATTCCACAAAGGGAAGAACCAAAAGAGAAATGCAACTCAGCCACACACTGGTTTCTGTAACTGGAGGACAGAATATTTAGGGGGCTCCTGCCACACAGACATAGCTTTCAAAGTGTCATCTCCACGGTCTGGGAGGAGAGGGAGTATGTTGGATAAGTCAGCTCCTCCTCCTTCCTCATACCTGGTTTTCTTGACTTTCCCCACAAAAATAGATGTAATCCCTTTTTTTCCTTTCTTTTTATCTTTTTTTTTTTTTTTTTTAAGATGAGGTTTCACCATTATTGGTCAGGCTGGTCGCGAACTCCTGACCTCAGGTGATCCACCTGCCTCAGCGTCCCAAAGTGCTGGGATTACAGGCATGAACCACCATGCCCAGCTCTTTTTTTCATTTTTATAGCTGTAATCATCCTTTGTAAATAAGGACAAGATCAAGGTCAAGTGTGGCAAAGACAGCGCCTGTGTCCTGTGAACAGACACAATCATGTCCTCGAGGCCCGAGGACCAGAGGCTTAGAAGTCAGCTGGTCTGCTGGGGGCAGAGGCTGTTTCTACAACTTACTTTTCATAGCCCTATAGATGAGGTCTTGAATATTCCCTGGGGGCTGGATTGTGACTCTGTGTCCCCCCATGGGGGGAGGAGGGAAGGGACGAAGGACAAGCAGGCTGTGGCCCTGCACTGTGTCACACTGAACCCTGCTCAGTTAAGTACTCCCTTCGTTCCTCCAGCCCTCCCTCACCAGTCCTCACCCAGGACAGAGAGACAAACACTTTATTTAAAAATATAAAACCAGTCTTACTCCTTCAAACTGCTCCCACCCCTAATGATCTCCACAAAGAGCTATACGAATTGGGTAGGGGTAGAGCCATCTCAGCTCTGACAACCCCAGTTCTTCTTTCAATTCTCCGTTCTCCCTTCATGCAATTGAGATATTTTTCCTTTGCACTTTCCCCAAGATATCAGAGGTGATACAAACGTGGAAGGAGGGGAAGCAGAGAAAATAAACAGTCATCATCCTCCATTCCCATCTCCAGGGACCAGACAGATTATGTGAACTCTGACCAAATGATTTGTTCGTCCAAAAAACCAAATAATGGGGACAGCTACTCTCTGCATCTTCAAGAAACATACGGGGGTCCGAGTCCTTCTTCAGTAGATAGCCTCGTCCATATTGTCATCACTGTCACCCCCAAAGTCCTCTCCATTGTCAAAATATGACATGATGTAATCAGTTTCCTGACATGGAAAAAAAATAAGTAAAAGTCAAGGCTGCTTTTGGCATTCACCTTCCTTCCTGTGTACCAGACCCCTTCCCTCCCCGTCTCATATTCCAGGCCTGAGACATCTGTTCCAGCTGTAGTTTGGAGAAGGGACAGATGAAGTCGAGGGAAGCCCCTACCCGGAGGGGCGCTATCACTGTTGGCATGCCAACCCTCTGAGGGGAGCATCCCTGGTGTCAAGAGTTGAGATCCCCAGAGTTTATGGGGTAAAGGGAGGGGGGCTAAGGTGGAAGGAGTCCCCTTCACCTCTTCGTGTTCTTCCTCATCATACTCTTCTTCTTCCTCCTCTTCCTTCTCTTCTTCTTCTTCCTTCTCCTCATCTTCCTCTGAAGTTACTTCTTCTTCCTTCTTCTCCAGGGTCTCAGGTGGGGATGAATAGGAACAGAAACTCAGATTCAGTTCACAGGAGGGAAAATGGAGGCACATATGGGCCAAGAGAGAGGGAACGGCTCCAGGGCTCAGGAGGGCTCTATGCACACTTCCTCCTCACCTCTAGTTTCTGTATTGTCTCCTCCTTGTCTTCTGAGGTCTTAGGGGGCCTCTTCGGGAGCAGGATCGTAATCCCTGGTGGGGGATCAAAAGGTGAACCATCAGAGAGCAAATTTTGCCAGCTTTTTACCCCATCCTCCTGCAAAGAACATGTCCCTCTGCTGCCCTCATGTGGCCACTATGACGTCTAGCAATAACACTTGGTAGATTGGGTAGTTCCTAGAGGAACTGTGAGGGAATGTGAGACCACAGCAGTCTTGGCTCTCAGGCTGATGGAGGAAACCTCTCTTCTCCCTCCGTTTTCCAGATACACTCACGTTCCTTCTGTAGCTTCCGCACTCGGATCTTTAGCTCCCGGGGTAGACGCCGCCAATCTGGGAATAGCGGGAATGTAAATGTCAATAGGACCCTGGGTGGGGTCTCCAACAAATGATGACTGGTTTTAAAGGCGGTGATGGTTTCCAAGGAGAGGGAGAAAGGGGCTGGGTCCAAGTTGTTCAGAACAAAACTGTGGCTTGGATATCTCCTGAGTAGTGGGAACTGTTGAATAGCTTTTCCAAGTGGAATCTGAGAGTGTTTTGGAACATAATTAAGGCTCAAGCTTGCAGATGCTGAATGAGGGAGTGGGGTGGGGACATGGGGATGATGGCAGTGGCTTGAAGCATCTTCAGCATTTGAAAGAAGGGCAGTCAACGAAAGGGCCCATCACCTACCGGGGTTCCAGTCAATGGCATTGTCAATCGGACCTGACATCTGGTATTTGTCTGAATACCGCTCCACATCTGAGGGGTGGAAGGATCAAAGTTTTATCAGAGACCCAGAACAGTGTTGTCCCTGAGAGTCCAGCCACCTCAATACTCAGCAATTATCTGTCCCCTTACCCCAAACCCAGAGCCCAGGGGGGTCAGCTTCAGTGAGGACCTTATCATTCTTCTTTTTTTTTT